AATTGGGCGCTGGGGGCGGGAGGTGGTCAGTGGGGGGCCACAAAAAGAGAGAGTGCCACACGCAGGCACAAAACAGAGGCGTCAACGAACCGGTTTGCAAAGGGTCGTCGTCGCGGCGAAGTCGCATACGCGTCAGCAATAATTAATCAATCAATAATTGAGGCAGCCCAGGCACAGAGACACACACACACTGGCACTTAAGCACACACACATTGAGCAAGACACTCGCATACACTGACAGAAAGACAAATCCAGACATCGAGTGAGAGAAACGTTCAACTAATGACAGGGCATACAAAATGGCCGACACATAAGCCCATTAAGTCCGAACAAACAGACATCCGGTGACCATCCAACGAGCAAGTGTTCAAAGGGAGGGGTCAATCCATAGGCTAGGCTATAATATAACCTTTCTTTATCGTATAGTACATACAAGTAGACACCTCCAGAACCTTTCGAAATCAAACAAAATCAATCCATAAGACTGGCTATCCATTGCCGAATATAAAACCGATCAACTTACTTTCTTTGCTAGCTTCTTTCGGTGTTGTAACTTTTGCTTTTCTCGGGCACTGTTGTTTCAGTATTTTTGTAATATATAGTATTTTTTGGTTTTAGAATTCTTATAGAATTATACTCCTTTTATTGGGTAAATATTCTTTGTTGTTGTTTTCTTTTGTTTATATAGTATTTTGGGTTAGGATTTGGATTTTTGTGCCCTCTTTTTATACTTTCTTTTGTTGGTATTTTTCTAAAGATAGTATTTTTGCTATTGCTGCACTTTTTACTCGTATTTCGCGAGGTTTTGAAATTTTTCGATTTTTTTTATTATTTGAAAATCGAAAACGGAACCCACATGTGTTTAGGCGACGAAGACGAGACAAGACGAGCGAAACGAAGAGAAAACAAAAGCGTAGCGCACAGGTAAGGTAACGTTGCGACTGTGCATAAAAATCGAACTGAACTGAAACCAAAGAAGAGCAAGAAAAAAAATTCCAAAACCCAAGTTTTGACGCTGCTGCCGTCGCTGTCGCCGCCGCCGCTGCTGCTGCCGTCGTTGTTGTCGTTGCTGTTGTTGTTGTATTTACTATAGTTGTTGTTGCTTTTGGCCCGCTTTACCTGTAGACCGCTCTGCTGAATATCCAGAGAAGACCGACAGACCGACCGACCAACCGAATACCGAAGACTTTCAACGTCGTTCGGTTTCTTTTCTGCGCTGCTGACGTCGACGTCGTGTGGTTAACGCCGCCGGCGGAGCGGCAACAACAACCAGAACGACAGCAGCAACAACAACACCGACAACAACAACAACAGCGGCTCAGCTTAGCGTGGCCCGTTCAGCTTGGCTTGACACACCGGCGCACAGGTGCGAGCGGGATAGCCAAATGCCGCCGTCGCCGCCGACGATCCTCTTTTCATTTAAGCATATGTATTAGTGCGATTTGTGCACAGGTAAGTGGGTATAAACTGTATCTGTGTGAGCAGTCCCTTAGGTAAGAAAAGAAAATGTGTCCAACTTCAGCGAACAGGTAGACCGCCGTCGCTCACATGCCGGTTGTTGTTGCTGGTGTTGCTGCTGCTGGTGTTGTTGTGTTGCTGCTGTTAAATGCCGCTCATGTTGCTGCTGTAGTCTCATGTTGCTGCTGTTATTGTCGAATCTTCTGCTCAAGCTTCTGTTAGAGATGTTGCTGCCGTCAATGGGGCTAATGTTGCTGATGTACCACTACATATTGCTGCTGTTATTGTTGTTTAAGTTGCTTATGTTGCTACTGTTCATCTTGATTCTATTGATGCTCTTTCAGGTGTTTTTACACATATTGCTGCTGTAATTGTTGCTATTGGTAATGATGTTGCTGCTTATATTTTAAATATTATTTTCCTTATGTTGCTGATACCTTCATTATAGTTGCTGCTGTCAATGAGGCTAATATTGCTCATGTTGCTAATAGTATCGCTTCTGTCATTGTAGTTAAAAGTGGTGAGGTTTATCTTGATTCTGAAGATGCAATTTTGTGTGTTAATGCAGTTATTACTAATGTTGCTGCTGGTTATGAAGCTCTTGTTGCTGTTGTACCTTTTCATATTGATGCTGCAATTGTTGCTAATGTTGCTTTAAGCCGGCCAATCTTATTTGTTAAGTGCAATGTTGTTGCTTTCTTTGGTAATTCTTCTACTGTAGCCTTTGTTAATAATGTTGCTGCTGTTAACATTGCTAATGTTGCTGTTGTTACTTCTCATTTTTGAGTATTTACCATTGTAGTTCCTTATGTTACTTTTGTTTTAGCTTAATTTGTTGCTGTTGCTAATGTTCTTATTTCTATTTTTCCATATGTGTTGCTGTTGTTTCCCCTATAGTTCCTGCTGTTGCTGCTACCCTATCCCTATGTTGTTGCTGCTGTTGCCTCTGCTGATTTTGCCGGCGGCAGAAGCGACCGAGCGGCGTCGGCGACTTCGTTTTTGCGGCTTAAATGCGCACACATCAACACACAAACACACTTCGAGCGGAATACTACTGCTCACACAGACAGACAAGCGAAAAGTCAGCGCATTAGGGTGCCTCACCTTATGGGAAATAAATTGACTTCTGGATAATACTCCACTCAAATAACAATGGAAAGTGTGGCAGCCATAAGCCGGGTTCACAATCCGTGTTAATGAAGTCAAAACGAAATCCCTAAGAAATTCGAACATTCTTTTCAGAACTGAAGAGGATTAAGGATGTGGGCCGAAATATTTCTTAATGATCTGAAAAATATAATCATAAAATCTGTTCTAAATTACGCCTATGGTATATGGTATATATGTTGTTTTTAGTGCTCAAGGATGGAAGTTATAATCTTTAACTCTGTTTTAAAATTACGGTATTAGTATGTTTTTAAAAAACATACAGTACATTACAAAAAGCCATAACCGAAAACTAGTTTATTTTTGGTGACCCCGATCAGATGATTTTTTTTGTTTTCGGATTTACATCACGGACAGCGACTTTTTGGATTGTACAAATTCAGCTCCTTGCAGTTTTTGGTTTATAACTTGTGTGATATTGTTCCAAAACTTAGTAAAATAGGAAAAAAAAACTATTTTAGGGTCACCAATCAGCAAGGAATCCTAATTATTCACCTTGGATCACCCTAGTGCCCCTGCCCGCATACAGGTAACGTGAGGAAATAAAAACGAGCAGGCGTTTATGCATATGGAACGCAGACACATAAGCAGCAAGAAAGCATACGTCATACAGTGAAATTGTATGTGGAAAAATACGCGGCGACAGCAATAACAACAAACAATAACGAATGGCGATTTTTGCGCGTGAGTAATTTGTTGACTATGAGTGTTGTGTTGTGTTGTATGTGGTGTTTTGAAAAGATGTGTGGGGAGGGGGGATATGGCATTTGTCCAGTTTTGTCTCTTGTGAGGCTTCTGCTGCAGGTATCCCAATGCACACACACACTCGCATTGCCAAACACAGATACAAATCCAAGCCATACAGATACAAAAAAAGATACTTTTGTATGGTGGTAATTATCGGTTTTCGATGCCATATGGCACAGACAGGGGAAAAAACGAAGAATACGAATCGAAACCGAAATCGAGCCGTGTGTAATGGCCCTTAATTTTTGCATTTTCTGTGCCGGTGTTATATTCCACCCAATGTTGCTAACTAGACACAATTTTAACCCGCCACGGATCGTTTCGAAACCCCCTCGAATATGTATCTATATGCGATTGTCGGTCGTTCTTTTTTTTTTGGCTTCATGGATACTAACTCAATTAGCACATCGTGTAAACGTGATGTGGGAACAACCGGCCAAAAGTCTCCCAGAGGCGCCTGCTCTTCAGACCTTGCCACAGTTTTTGGGATTTCGGTTCCTTTTTTTTGTTGGTTAGTCGGCTGACAAACAAACAGAACCAAGTACACATGTTCGGGAGCTAAAATGCAATCGCCCGGTTCCAGGAAAACGCCAAACTGATCATGCAAACAACAAATATCAAGTCACCGCAGACAAACACACTCACACACACACTAAGGAAAAACCACCAAAAACAACTTTGGGGCAAGGGTTGGGGATACGACACGCCCATGAAGTGAATGCCTCGGATGTAGTCCAGCGGTTCAACAGGTAAATCTCCACTGTACATATACTTATATACCATATCTCCCATATAGGTTTGTACATCTGTGGTTTTTTGGGAGTGTATCGCAGACCTCAGCGGAGTTCGAGTGTCCAGCTGCTTTCGTTTTTATTTTTTACGTCTGCGATTTTTATTTTTGACACGATTTTCGGGTTTTATCAATGGAGATTTGGCAAATACTCTTCCCAAATTGAACTAATTAAAAGTAAAACTTCTTCACGTTGATGGTCTAATCAGTATAAATTATTAGCAGCACATTTCCTAGAGAGAAATATGATTTGTATCTCTTATAATGAGAGGATCTCCATTCTTTAATATAGCTAGAACTTTTACATCTTTAGAGAAGCTTTCCATTAAGGAATAGCTCTGCTTGTTCTCCGCCGCCACACAAACAGTGTACAACGGATATCGGAATGCACTTATCGATAACTCTGTTAAGAGATATATTATCGATTAAAATCGTTAATATCTTGAGTGATTTTAATTTTATAGTTTAAAATAGATCTAGAGATCGAGAAATTTGCAGAATAAAACAATATATCTTAATTAAGACAAATTGGATTTGGCTTTTTTCCAAAGCAAGAAATCTTTTTTGTTGGTTTGGTGAAAAAGTAACCCGAAAATAGAGTATTCCCATATCGACCTGAACTCAATTGAGAAACAATATCTCCGCTCGTTTGCTGCATTGTGATTCAGCTTGCATTTTTGCGCATTTATCGAAAATATTTGCTCTGGCTCAGCAGCTTGGCTCATATTGGATTCAATTTTAGTCGTATCCGCTGCTGGCCATCGATGAGTGAAACTTACAGTTCATTTGTTGGCTTTACTTTTATATTTTTTGGTGTATTTTTGTTTTTTTTTTTTTTTTTTTCGAATATTTGCTGGGCATTACATTGTCACGACTTGGCTTACCTGCAAAGAGAAAGATAGAGAGAGAAAATTGAGGTCATTAGTAAAAGGTTTTTCAGGTCTCGGGCTTACGAACTGCTTATGGCTAATTAGTGCAAATGTTTATAGATTTTAAATGAGTTTACAGTCCGAGCGAGATGTAAATTTATTTAATTTCAACAGCACAGCACTCTCAAAGGGAAAACTTTTGATGGGCCGGGCAGGCAGTCAATAGCAGAAATCAAATAAACCCCCATAGCTATAATTTCACCCTCACAAAAGATATAGGAAAAGAAAAACCATACCATAGAGAGAAACTAATTCTGAGTAAGAAATCCTGAAGCCTCAAAAGCAATTTTTAATTACAACAGAACAGAAAATTTATGTGCGAACTTGGCGTAGGGAAAAAAGAACGCTGAAAGAAAGCTGGGGAAAATTGAAGGAGAAGGAATGCCTAGGGTGTTGTTCAGGACCTCTCTCTCCAGTCGATATGGGGAAAGGAAAAAATCTGTGCAAAGGAAATCGACATGCAGATTAAAAGGAAGTTGCACAAACCAAATGGACAGGCCAAAGGGCGTGGTGGTGCGATGCTGGTTGTAGATTGCGTAGAGAAGAAGAGCCAAGCAAAGGCAGAAAAAATTCGATTATCTGCGAGAGGAAAACTGTAATTAAATCTATGGGGTTTTCCACACAGGACGCCAAAGGAAATGTGAGTTTGGGAGGGGGGAAAGTAGGAGAGTAGCAGAAAAAATGCAACGAAATCACGTAAAGCAAACTAATACCGCAACAAGGCGTGCAGATTGCACTGGAAGAACAAGAAATGCCAGGAATGGGTGTGTGGGTGGTCCCATCCTATAAGAAGGGGCTCCGAAAAATGGGCGGTGGGTGGCGGAAGGATACAGCTGAGCCTGCGCAGGAATTGCTTGGTCCTTGGGCTGGGGTTTTTGGGTCTTAGTCCGGGGCAGTGGTCTTTAGTGGCAGGGATTAACAGCGGAGCCAAATGGCATGAGCTTAGGCTCTCGGACGACCATTGAAACCATGATGATGGCACTGCCACACACACACAACCTTTAAAATACAAAAAAAAAGGAAAAAAGAACTGGGAACGCAAAGAAGAGGCTTCATTAGCATAGAGGATAGAGAGCCCGAGAGTGCGAAAAGAAAGCAGGCTACGGGGGAAATATCCAGGCGGAAATGCGAGTTCCAGACTTTAAGTTACCGTCAAAGATTAGAAAAGTTTCCTAGTTAAATGATATTGAGGTTTCAAAATACCCAGGATTTGTAAGAACAAGAATAGTAGTTAACCGTAGGTTAGTAAATACTGAAAGCAGTCTGTATCATACATTTTATTTTAAAAGAAAACATCCCTAAAAGGTTGGTAGGAGATAATAATTAACCTATAGATAACCATAAGTTATTGACCAGTCAAATTGAACTTTCGCCCTATACATCCAGATTGTTTTATCGATATATTGTCGCTTGCCCACTCTACATTTTTTATTTTTTTTTTCGACATGTCATACATACTCCTTTCTACTAACTGCAATATTGTCAGGGTATGAGTTTGGAAGAAAAAACAAAGCAATGTCGAAGTAGAGCGTTGCATGTGCGGCTTATGTACCCCAAACCCTGCTAGAAACTGCCACGCCTCCTTGCAAAAACTCCTTCCATCCAATTGCCGCCTGGCTACAGTTGCGGCAAATGAACAAACGCCAAGAAGAATGCTCCTCACGCTGCTCCTGCTGCCTCTTCTAGTCCTGATGCTGGCATGGTGCAGGAAAAAAAAGGACATTGTGGAACTAGCAGGAAAAAAAGCCGGAAAAGACAGGGGAAAGGAGGGGTACAAGGAGGTTGAAGCATAGTGTATGCTCTGGGGGACGCAAGATGCCACTAACTCAAACTCAAAACTCGAGGCACCAAAACCTCCCGAAAAAAAGCCACCTGAGCAACCGGCAACAACTTGCAGATACACAGAGAACTATTTAGGCAATATTTCAATTGATCAGTTGGTCACACTAAAAGTGGTGTGTGACCTTGCTAAATTCAGACATATATTTAAGTGGCATGGGTTTGAACTTAATCTTTTTTAGATTCTTGGTATAATTGGTCCTTATTATTAACAATTAAACCTACAAACACAGAACAATCTGAACAAATCAAATTGAAGCTTATTTTACTTAAATAAAAAAAAAACATTTAAAATTATTTTAAGTATTATAAAAACTATTCAATTGATTTGATTAGAAACAACATTAATATTCATACTCTCTACAAAATTATGAAACCCAAATGACTGTTTTCTTAGTGCAGGTGGAATGACGTGAGCTATGGTGGTTAGTTGGGTGGTTGTGGGACAGAAATGAAGAGGAGTCCTGACGGGGACAGGACAGCACACCGAACGGGAAGGATTGGATTGGGGAGTTCCAGGCAGGACGCGCAGTTTGACTGCCGGAAATGAACATTGGAGTTGGGCCCTGGCTCTGTTTCGGTTTCTGGCTCGGATCAGGGGGATCTGGGAGCTGGGATCCTGGGTGGTTTCACTGGGACGACTCTACAACTACTACGGCGACGACGACGACGGAGCACAAAAGAAATTAATTTCATTTTTTTCGCCCGCTCACTCTCTTTTTCAGCTTTCTTTCATTCTTTCCATTTCTATTGGTCTTCGTTTTTTTTTTTGTTTTTTGTTCTTCTTGTTGTGTTTGTCCTTGTTGCTTTGGCAATGTTTTGTTTTACCCTCAAGTTTGCTGCAACAAAAATTGCAAAGGAAAAATTTCTGCTAAACCAAACATTGATTGTCAGCTGGTGTGTGTGTAAAGATGAGCAACGACTGCACTGGGAAAAGCGTATTCATTAACTTTGAAAGTTGTTCTTTTGAATTCCTTAAAATCTGGCATTCAATATAAGGAGTTATATTCAGTTTTACGAAGTTCTGCAAGATGGCTCATGTCTAATATCCATGGGTATCACTCAAAAAGGTGTCTAAAAGTATGCTAGGATTTTTTTTTTTCAAAAATCCTGACAATTTCCATTTTTTTCTTACAACAACTTTAAAAATGGTTGCAAACCACTCAAACAGAAGTGATGCAGAAGAATAATAGCTACAAAGAAAAAAATGTTTGTAAGGATAATAGTTCTATAAAATCAGTATCTTCCTCGAAAGCCAAGAATACTTAATTTTCAATTGTCAGATCAGATATAGAATTACAAAATCCATTGTATTGATGACCAATTTGGTTTGAATTTTCCCTCTGTGCTGGGGAATAGAATGCAAGCTGGCCCAGCTGCCGCTTGTGTTGCTGATGATGATGGCATTTCCCCAACTAAGGCCCAGAATAGTTAGCTTAGGGAGCGGGAAAATTGCACTTTGCATGCTGCCACTGCTGCGGGATACAAAAAAAAAAAAAAAAAAACTGGAAAAAATGGGAAAAACTAAAACAAAAAGCGGCGAAGGAGCAGCCGGAGAATGCTGCGGCGCGGAAGTAAATGAAGATTCGCTTGGGCTATAAACTGTCTCCACACACAGATACAAAGAAACAACCATATACACAGGGACACAGGGCAGCATTTGAGTTACGGAAATGAAATGTCAGGGGGGGGGATAGAAAAGGGAGTACGAAAAAAAAAATGGGGAAAAAAAGAAAGAACAGCCCTGGGAGCCTGGAGAATTGTCCCTTATGGGGCCCCATGTTTGTGAATGATGTTGGCTTAAATGCCAGGGTCCAGCCTAGACTTTTTCCCTCTGTCTTCCCTGGTTTACCCGATTTTTTTTTGTAGTTTTTGGTTTCTTTCTCTAGTTGAGCTTCGTTTCCGTGGTGGACTTTTGCCTGCGTGAACTTCCGGTTACGTGCTTGGGCCTTCTACACACACATATATACCTAGATACACCTCTATATTTCAGGTGTCCATATGTGCATATATCTTTCTTTCCTTCCTTCTATTTTTTTTTTCTGTCTCTATTTTTTGCAATTTACTAACTACTTTTACGCGCTCAGCTCTTGGCCAAAAACCACAGCATTTTCTCTCACCTTCCCCGTTTTTCCTTGCTTAGTTTACAAAATTACTACAGCAGCAGCAACAACAACACGAAAGCTGCCTTGCATTTTAATTAAAAATTCTTCAAAATTCGCTTTGTGCTTGCTTCGTGAATTTTCCCCATCCCCTTTCTCCTGCTTCATTTCTCTTTGGGTCTGAACATTTCTTCACTTTTTTTTAGCTACTACCAATAATAATACGCTTGTTGTTGGCCATTTTGGTGCTTCTGATGCTGCATGCCACCCAAAAGTAGACCACATATTTTTAATTTGACTGCAGCACAAGGATAAACGAGAAAATGTTGCGGTGGGAGCGAAAAAACCTGGATGTATCAAATGGTCAGACGCTCCTGAAACCTGGCATACTACTAAAAAATGTACGGCAGAAACTGCAGGGTTTCCTAAAACAGTTTCCTCTTCTATTAAAGTAAAGCCCCGTCTTAAAGGCTTATAAGAATTTTGGTAGGTTAAAAATACGATTTTCCTATGTAATATATTAGCAAAATGTGATAAGAACAGTGCATTAGGAACAGTGTCCTAAAGACAGAAAACTAAAATCCACTATTTTTGTATTTAATATAGATTCTATCCTTGAGATAATCACCTAATTTTATCATTTACGTTGACTACATATATAGATTCTTAAAACAAATTAAGATTGTAATATACCGTAGGCACATTTTCATATTAATGATATGTAAGTTTTTATCTTATGGGTAGATCAGGAGGGGGACTCTATTTAAGGGCTTTTTGAATTGGCTTTCATCTCAGGTTAAAGGTTTCTTGGTGTATTTCTGGCTAATTTTATTGATCTCCTTGTATATAGCCAGATTGATAGTCTTTCCTGGATTTCCAAGTTGGTAGTAAATGCGCAAATTTCTATTTATAAACCTCTGCAGGATTTCCCCATTCAAATGCCCCTGTACAATTATAAATGAAATTCAAAATGTTAATGCCCAATTTCTTGTCTTTACGGTAATTTTGTACAGT